TGTCTGTCATAGTGACACTAGTGCCACTACATACTTAAGTGTTGATTTCAATTAGTTAATATGCCAAGGCATATTTTTTTCCATAAACCAACAGCAGAAATCGGTGGATTGGTCGTGGAAGTTCTTGGGCTTGGCCGGTGCGAAGTCCTGACTTTAACCTATTAGATTTTTGTGTTTGGGGTTATTTAAAATCATTAGTGTATGATCAAACGGTAGACACCCGAGATGAGTTGATAAATAAAATTATAAATGGCGCCGAATCATTTCGAAATAAAAATGCGTTTTTTAAAATTAGTCGATCCCTCAATAAACGCATTTCAAAATGTATTGACGTTAACGGGGGACATTTTTAGCTATTTCTGTCGAAAATGTATGTTTTAATGTTAGTGATTAAGATAAAAAGATCCTATTGTTGAATAATGATGTTTAGTAAATATTTTTTTTACTTAGATACCTATTGTGGTTTATTTTTTGTCAATACTGCATTTTGCGGTTTAATCGCAAATATCTCGGAAACAGAGGCTTGTTGAGACATCGACTAAGAACACCTGTTTTGTGCCACATTAATAGGCGATTAGCTCCAACTAGTTTAGAAGTCAGAATACCGGGTGACCAAAAAGTTAAAACCATTTGTCCCCAGATATCGCCTCAAGTGGCTTTTTCTACGAGTTGATGACAATCTGTGGGAAGATTTGGATTTCTGATGCTTAAAAACATCTGTATACCAAATTTCGTTAAAATATGCAGCTCCGTGCAAAGTAAAATATCGAAAACCTGAAATTAAAATGGAAGTTTGACGCCCTGTATGTCGGCAACCGTCAAGTTTGGGACTAAGGTAAGTTGTGTTAAATCATTATATTTTCACCCTAGGAATCCGCCATTTTGTTTTGTGCCATTACTTTTGGGACATCCTGTATAAGCTGCTGCGCATTCGACATGTGGAAATTAGTTCTAAGTTAGCAGTTAAGGTAGTTAGTTTGCTGTTGAAAAATCTATTTTTGGTTTGTAAAAATAAACGTTTTTTAAAAACTAAGTTTTTATGTCCTAAAACAAAATTCGGCTGCCTTTGAAGTTGGTGAAAATGGTTGTTGTTGATTAGTTGAAGCCATGGAGGTTTCAACCCTGTCGATTGCTGGTTTTTGGACAAAGAGTTGGTGTTGGCGGTGAGGTCAATTTAATCCTACTCAAAAAAGTTTAGTAACCCTTCTTACTAATATGATAAGTTTTTAAAACATTAAGTTATTTTTACGTCTAATTAACGAATTAATAATCTAATAAAATATAGCTTATCATTATAAAGGGTGGTCCAACCATCATGCACGATGTGAATTCTGAGTCCCACATAAGCGTCAAATTTTTTAAGTTTCAGTTTTTTTTCAAGGATTCAGGGAAGAAAAAAAATTTTAGCCACCTAGCTTTCGGCGATTCGTTATCGCCTTCCTCAGGGTGCTAATTGTTTGACATAAGAAGGCTGGGAACCCCGTAGAATATTCTATCATTGTTACAACCTGATAAAATATTTTAACATCCTCGCTTTCATAATATTATAGGAGGGAAACAATTGTTAAATCGAATCACATTATTTTGTCATAACTTGTCATGAATTAAAAACATTTATTCTCTATTAACATATTTTCTACAGAGATAACGGGACAGGCTATACTAAATGCAATTTAATGATGAGCTGAAGGCGCTGTACATCGAATTCGAGAAATTGGCCTATAAGAGGCGGGATCAACCTCGGTGGCCTGCAAGCGAATAAAAGTAGAGTACCCACAGTAGATCAAAACAGGATCATAACGCTCTACGCCTACATTAGCTGTTACTGACTGCCTGCATGAATGGCAGCATCGTGTATAGGATCGTTGTTTGGTCCGCTATGGCCACTCTACCCTTTAGACCGGCCCTATCGGCACGCTCGAGCCGTATCCGTATGGCGCAACCATGTTTCCACGATTAACGTCACATCGACATTCTCAGACTCGAAAAACTGCACGAACTCGCCGAGACGACTTTGACGTCCACATGAGTTCGATTCCCCAATCCTCATAGGGCACAGTTGATAATCTCAATATTTAAAAACCGAAACTGTTAATATCTTCATTGAAGAAATGCGTTGAGACTAGGAATTTGCCTGTCTTCCACACACATCCCCTCAATGCAGCGCTATCAAAACGAACCGCTTTTACCACCTCCTGCAAGTTGATCTTCGTCGCCAGCACGGCGAATTCCCACTGGATACTGCCCATCGTGGCTACGGCGTACTCGTGCTGGTCCAGCGGCGGAAATACCTCTAGTGAAGGCGGTGGTGGGGGCAGCCTTCTCCTGTTGGCGTAATTTGGCGCTACTGTCCTGCTGTTTACGGGTTGAGGGTGGATGGGGCCGGGGGCTCTGCTGGTTTGCCCCCGGATTGGCCTGGAAGAGGAGCAGGGACGAAACGCTGCCTCTCCGTCTCGTCGGCAGTTTCCGGAGGCATAGCTCCATACCTGGCACCGACGACGCTGCGTCAGGGTTCTCCGATTCTGGCGGATTTCCCACGAAACACTGACACTGCACACCACCCTTGCCTCGACGTTTAGCTTTAGTCGTCAGTGACGACGAGGTATAGCGGCCTGAACAGTGTCTTCATTTTGAAGACACGCCTCACCTCTAGCCCTTTGCTTTCCAGATCCTCTTTGATAGCAGCCGGTTCGACAGTCCCGTCTAGCCCCCTCAGGACGAACGCGTGTGTTTTTGCCAACGACGGGGCGTAGGTGTGGTACTGGCTGTTATCCGCTTCGAAGGACCGTTCAGCCGCCGCCCAGACCAAGATGAGGCTGCCGTATACGATTGGTGAAGCGTTCGTGTATTTCAGCGTGAAACGTTCACTGGTTATGGTTTTCAAGGCATCAATCAGCATTGTGTGATTGCTGCATTTTCAAGGAATGACAATTGGCGGCGGGTTTTCCGTCGTCTTGGAAGTTTCGGAGAGCTTACAGTGTGCCTGCGGTTCTCCTGCTGTTCTGTTTTTTTTTCTCGAATAACTCACAAATAACAATATTAAAATATTTAGGTATATCGCACGCTTCCACTTCGAACTACAGTCTATTCTCGACTAACTCAAGAAACTATTATCCGCTTAGATAGATAGAAGTAAAAAGTAATTAATACTTTAATGGAAATTAAGTTCTCGCGAACTTAAATAAAGTATTCGATGATTTAACGGTATTTCGAACTGCAAAACTTGCAGACTTTTTTGGCACAAGCGACTAGTTATCGGCTTTATGAAACTGATAATTAACTCTAGGCAAGTAATTTGAATTATTTCTTATGCATATATAAACATTTAAATTACTTCAACACCGCTTGAGTATTGAATTGCTGCTAGATTAATTCCAACAGATATCTTTCGAACGATTCAATGAGTAGAAGAGAAATTTTACTCTGTTTCTTGACTTAGAGTTCGAAAAATTAATTATTTTAAGTAACCGGACACCTGGAATAATCCGAAAAAGTGTTACTGATTTTTACATCACCATTATCAAGATCTCTCGACCGTATTGTCTAATCTACATCTATATCTTATCTTTAATGGGCTCGACCTAGTTTAATGGCGGCGAGTACTCGAAACATAAAATTCCGTGAATTTTTCTCATTAATCTAAAGGGTGAGTTTTTTCAATGACCAGTACAGGGATCTTCGAAACTATAGCAGTTACGAAAAAAGTTAAATTGAGAAAGAATATTGTAATTTTGAATGCTCTACTCGAAACCAATTTTAGTTTTCTAAAATTTGACAGCTGAGCTGTCAGGAGAGATTTCGGAAAAATTTATTTAGTATAGTAAATTTTTAAATTACTCCTTGTTGCGTTGATATTAATTTGACAGGAAAACATTAAACAGAAAATTTGTTGAAAATTGAATTCCAAACAAAATGGCATAAGACATTTCTCCAAAATAACTGTCATTTTTGACATATGGCACAAATTTCAGTTTTTTTAAATGGCAACCATACTTGATTATTGCTTTACCGAATAGAACATTTCATTACGATTTCTGTGATGTATCACATCGTTAGGATTTTTTCGAAAATAAAGTGTCTGTGACCAATTTCTAGTTTTTCAATTTAGTTGATCTAAGTCATGGGAAACAGTATAAGATATAGTATTGTTTCCATAGCAACGAATAATAACAACATTTTTCAATTTTTGACGTTTAAATTCAACTTAGAATATTAAGTTAGTTTTATTGTAAAAATGAATTATTCCAATTAAGAAAAGGGCGACATGATTGAAGCCTACATTAGATGTGATAAAAATGTTAGACGAACCTCGGATTGCAGTTTTGAGAGGTATTTTGACCGTCGTCGACCGTCCTTGAAAACATTCGAAAGATTATATGTTCGACAATTTCGGCACTTATGAACGTAACGTTTTACGCAGCCAAGAAATTAAGATAAAGTAATAAATGAAGCTGTGGAGCTTAATGTCCTGGTCATTGTATGTCAGATGAGTATGCCAGTGAGAAACACAAATTCAATCCGTATAGATTGTGAACTTTGTATTTACGTGTCTCAAACTTTACATCCAGGGGATGAGGAGCTGCGTGTGTATTTTTGTACATGGTTCTGAAACAAATGCCAACAAGACATGCAATTCCTCTATAAAATATTGTGGACCCATGAAACTCGATTTAAAAATTGTGATATGTCTAATCAACACAATGAACATCTTTCAAATCAAACAAATCCCCACCACGTGGAGCAAAGAAGACCACGAATTAAATTGGGGTTTAACATTTGGAGTAAAACGGTAGGTTCAAAAATTCTTAGATCTTTTATTTTTGAAGACACCTTAAATGAGAGTCGGTATCTTCAATTCCATGGGAATAACCTGAAGTTTATGTTGGACGACTTAGATTTGGAAAAATGGCGTAATGTGCAATGGTTTCAACATCTTCAACGCTCCTCCGCATAATTTTTTCCAAATGCAGAATCACCTGGACGTATCCTGGGGCTTGAATTGGACGAAACGGCCCTATTTTATGGCCAGCCCAATCACCGAATCTTTCACCTTTCACCTTTTCACCTTAGATTTCCTTTTGTGGGCAGCCGTCAAAGCACAGTTTATAAAAACAAATATTCCAATTTAAATACACTTAAAGAAGCTGTTGTTGGAGAATTTGAAAATATTGATAGTCGGTCCGGAAGAAAAGCAACTTATTCAGTTTTAGAGCGTTGCACTATTTGCATTGATAATAATGGTGGACTTTTTAAAAATGTTTTACATTAAAAATTAAAGTTTCTAGAGTTAAATTTTAATTATTATTGGTATGATTTTATTTTCATAATAAACAATTTAAATGAGCAGCCGTCTTAATTAAAATAAAGTTATTGCCAACTTTAACGTACTTGTCAAAATAAATACTGAAGCATACTGCTATTATTTGTTACTCTGGAAACAATGCTGTATACCTGCTGTAGTCTTATACTATTTTCCATGACTAACTTCCACCAACAAAATTGAAAAAGTATGAATTGTTTGCAGACACTTTATTTTCTAAAAAAACCTAACGTGATACATCACGGAAATCGTAATAAAATTTTCTCTTCAGTAAAGCAATAATCAACTATGGTTGCCATTTAAAAAAAAAAAAAATTGTGTCATATGTCAAAAATGGCAGTTATTTTGGAGAAATTTCTTCGGTCATTTTGTTTGGAACTCAATTTCCTACAAGTATTCTATTTAATGTTTATTTAATGTTTTCTTGTCAAATTAATATTAACGGAACTAGGAGCAATTTAAAAATTTACCATAAATCAGTTTTTCTCAAATATCTCTTGACGGCTGTCAAATTTTAGAGAGATAACATTGGTTTCGAGTAGAGCATTTACAACTACAACTCTTTGTCCATTTGGCCTTCTTCGTAACTGCTCTAGTTCCGAAGATCACTGTACTAGTCATCGAAAAAAACTCACACTGTATATGGGCATTATTATAGAAAGTTTGAAAAATTTATCCGTAAGAGAGACTTAGTGACGGACCTTTCTGTCTCTCTTCTTGATTTATCCCGTTTCGTGCGAATGCAATCTATAGGTTTGCCAAATTATTTTTATATATTTGTCGACTACATAAATCGACATTCGGCAGTCCGTGTACATGGATTTTCTATAACAATTAATTACTTGACATTGCGTTTCCTTCCATTGTTCGATTTCGTCAACGGTAAATAAGGCACCTGACATCTCCGCTTGAAGTTTCGTTTTGTATTCGCCGCATTTTACTATTGTTATATTCCGCATTGGAGCTTGATAGTAGGTTGGAACGTCTTCTATAGCTTTCAGAATATCATCTCCAGAGATCAGTTGTCTAAAAAATTTTTTTTATACGTTTGACATCATATTTATACGTTTAATTTGCACTTATACAGTTAAATGGTTTGAAGAATAACTTAATTCTTTACTTAGGGGAGTCTCTGACTGCACTGAATACACAGCATCCTGATCGTAAACACAGTGTCGTGAGACAAAGTGCTTTTGCGTTTTACGTGCCCAAGTGATTTTAGTGATTTTTGTCTGTGCTAAATTGCTATTATTTGTGCTAGCACAGTAATGACAACTGTGAAAATTTACTGACGCCCTTGCTGTTTATAGGTTATGCAGGTTATGCAAGTCAAGTTGCATGCCAATTTGGAGGAGTTCAGAGCCTCCAATGATAAACCTGCTTACTAGGAAGACCGTGCCACAAGCGCGGAGAGGTGTACATGGCTGCCAGCCGTCCCGACGCACCAGATGTCGCTACGGAGGAGAAAATGGAGGAGAGTTCACACTCATCCAGCGATAGCGAGGCAGTTGAGGGGCCCGCTGATGCGGAATCACTCCCAACTGCCTCCAGGTAGGGCAAAAGTCCGGTGAGCGACTCGTCCGACGGCGAAGGGTTTAAAAGCCTAAATCGCCGACTAAAGAGGAGGTCCCTGTCCTCCAATGGACTACAAGGCCCCTAAGGCAAATATTTTGCCAGCAGTCGACAGCACAGACCGCCCAGAAAAAGCCGGCGACTGCTGCCGCCTAGCAGCAACCGGAAAGGAGGGCAAAAATCCCACCGATTGTCCTAAAAAACAAACAAAAATATGGCGAGATCACCAAATAACTCATGGCAAAGAAAATTAACTATGGCTGTGTAGTGACTACCAAGGAAGGAGTAAGAACGCACCCTCCTACAGGTGAAAATTATAGGGCCATGATCCGGGTACTGGACACATACAAGTACTAGTACCACAAATACCGACTCGAAGAAGAGAAAAAACTTGAGATTCCGCACGTCTAGAACCAACACACATCACACATCATGAGAAAGGCGACATCCTGGACATATTTCTGTACAAGAACACAGGAAGACTTTCCAGCCCCGAAGTTCTTCAGGAACTATCATCGAACCATTTGCCGATACTCATATAAATTGGTCCAAACTAAGTCAATAGCATCACTGCGATTCAGAGGGTCACTAAATTGCAAACTTTCCTGCGTATATCGGAAAGCGTCAGTACGATCCCTCAGCGAACAATAGAGGACGACCTGGACCAAGCAGTCGAAAAAGTCATCAGTGAAATCAGCAACGCCCTCGTAGCCTCAACAAGGGAATCAGTCGTTCCGGCAAGCCATGATGTCAATGACATTTTAAATCATCATGTGTCACGTTTTGACGTTTGTAATTTTCCAAAAGCGTACTTTTGTAAGCATATACAAGTGAAATAATGAATGTTGAAAATTCAAGTGCTGCTTTCACGGTATGGTGTTTGTATAAGTTGCATATTTTGCATGGCATTTACGATAATTAGAAAGATCTTGCTTTGCGTGTGGCAACATCGCAACATCACAATAGAGCATTAGAACGACTTTGAGACTGAACTTGTAACCAAGTTATAATTTACAGATTGTAAGTAAACTTTAAATTATGATCAATAGTTGTATTTGCACTTTTTAAGAACCAAGTTTCCGGATTACATCGGTAACAACATTCGCCGCTTGGAAAACCTTTGGATCCCCTTCGCCGCTTGGAAAACCTTTGGTTCCAGCAAGATAGTGCTGAACCACTTAATCGGCCCTGTGCTGTATCATAAATGCTTCTTTTAACGGCCACACGTTATGGCAACTTAACAGTTCAGGATAACATTTTCGATATCGCAGCAACACAACCGAGGTGTTCTCTATCTCCGAGTTAACGTACGTGTTTCCAACCCAGTTATCCATCAAACGTTAAAAAGGAAAAAAAAAATTGGATGCATAAAGTGAGATGCCCTTATACGAATAGTCTATTAGTTAAAGGGAGACTCTCTCACATCAAACCATTGAAGCTTCTAAAACATATGCACCACATGTTCACGTTTTGACTATTTGGCCCACCTACTACCATACTTGTCTTTGTTTATGATTTGCATTCACTTTCGTTCGTTACTGTTCTTGACCTATCTTCTCAAACGCTTTCACCGGAGCATGCACAGAAGAGGCAAAAAAAACAACCCGCAAACAATTTGAAAATTTAGTAGAGTTTGTGGAGGCAAATAAAGTTTATTTTCAGGACCATTTACCAATTGTTCTAATAAAGCTAACCTTATAAGACCACCAAAAGACACTCTGACCAAAGACGCTCTGCTTAAACACAATTGTTTTATTTATTCCCCGAGCTTAACTTCGAGGGTCGCACGTTAAGTTCGATAGCGGCATATGATTTGATTCTATTATTCTGAAGCGCTATTTCTTAATATAACGTTCGTCGATAGCGTGCACCTGTTATAATATAAAGGCTTTATTGATACAACACACCAGTTAAATGCAGGTTAAATTTAACGTGAGTGATATAGCACAGGGCTGAATACTTGAATAGTGGCTAATTATTTGTCTGAAATATTTTCCAGCCGAGTCGTTTCCAACAATGCGTACACACGTCGGCCGGCGCGATAACCAGATCTTTCTCCTTTAGATTGTTATTAATAGGGAACTATTAAAAAGCACATTTATAAATCTGTACCCACGAATATTATTGACCTGCGAAGGAAGATGATCACAACCTTAAGGAGCAAAATTAGAAGGATATACTTTTTAAGATCAATACAAAATTTAAAAAAAGCATTTATCTGTGCTTGCAAGTTCAAGTGAAAGAGCTTCTGGTGGGCATCGTGCTGGGCGGACTAGAATACTTTTTATGGCCACGAAAGAATCCTCGTGTTTCTGCCTCTACTTAAACGGTACTTCGTTGCAGAGCAGGTCTTCCAACGGTGATTTGAGTTTGTAGAACCGATGAAAGAACTTTCCATAGTAGTTGACCAGGCCTAGAAGAGATCGTACGTAATTCCAGGGCTTTGACCCTATCTGGGCCCGCCCTCACTCCTTAATCGCTGACGACGATTCCGAGGTACTTCACCGAGGGCGCGTAGAACTTGAAGGTACTACAGAGGACGACCTGGACCAGGCAGCAGAAAGTCTCACCAGGGAAATTAAAA